CGCGTTAACGTCCCCTTTAAATAACGTGACGCTCTGCCCTCTATGACGCTGCTCCCATTAAGCGCTGTTGGAAGTGAGTGAATTGATTCGGCATTTCGACACCTCCGTAAGAATGCATTTAACTCGACAAAGCATTCTAATAAAGGATGTATTGATCTCGTGAATTAGCGAATTTTACTATACATCGTCAGATTGACAGTACTCTAGCCCAATAATGTTGGGGGATCCAGTGGGGGCGGCCGTCATATTTCAGGGTGACCGTGCCACTCTTTATCACAACCCTGCTAAAAGTGCCAGTACGTGCGCTCATTGGTGCCCCTTCAGCTGGTGGCGCCCTAGGCGACCGCCTAGCTCGCCTATGCCTAGAAACGGCCCTGGTTGGATGGATTGTGACCTGTGGGGAATTGCACCTTAAAGCTTTACAAAAAAACCTACTTGAACTTCCCAAGCCAGGAATCAGCAATGATGGCACCCAAGATGGGCGCCAAGTAGCACAGCACCACAAAAGCATGATAGATGGAAGTCGCAAGGTCATCATCACAAAGCAGAAAATACCGGAAATACAGCACCAACACAGCTAGACAAAGAGAGAGCGTGGCTTTATTTATTAATCTATTTTTTCAAATGAGTAAGGTCTCAAATCACACCCTAGTCATAGGCAAATGCAATAACATGTGCCAAGCTCTCGGTGGCACTGTAATAATTACATTGCTAATTTACATTTAAATGATCACAATCAAGGGAAATCTTGAATGATCTACAAAAAACTTTTTCTCAAACATGCCCACATGATATTCTATGTATGTGTTGTAGATAATAATAAAAATAATAGTCCGATTGTGTCTCCATGAAGAAATTGGGCATACTTTTAGAGAAACCAGTCCTAGAATAGTTTTCCAATTCACATGAGACTTCCTGTGTTTCATCTACAGACACTTAGCATTGGTCAAATTGTTTCACAAATACAGATGTGCATTTCTCCACGTAGCCTGTAAATACTAATTGACCCCATATATTCTGACTACAATATCCAAAGGTCCACAAAACCTGGGACGGTTTCTGTCCTGAAGGAGTCACTGCACAACTGTGTTATCATAAACACTGATCTGCTCTTTCATATTGTTCCATGTACTTGGATTCAGATGACTGAAATGTTGCTACAACATTTCATCATGTGCTACTTATATTCACACAATATTCTACATGCCTTTTCTTTATTGAGAGACAAATGCGTGCGCGCACACACACATACCTCGCATGCCATATTAGGAAAATCTCTCACAGAACTCATGGACCACAATAAAGAAAATGCTGATTGGATATCCACAACACTCAGCCGTCTGTATCAGTGGCATTAAAAAGACAGTACAGTGGCATTATTCAAGATGGAAGGAGCATTATCAGAATCGTTGAGATTATCACTTTGATAAATCAATAGGTTTACTCACAGTAGTTGTCTGAATGGGAAACATGTAGTCCATAGTCTATATACTACAGAACATACTATAAACTTGAATTAATATTATAGAAAAGTTACGATTATTACACACTAACCCTAAATGAAAACATGTTGTATTTTAAGATTTAAAAAATCGGTTTTCCAAATGAAGATACACCTGAATGCCCCCAGACATTCATGCCAGATTTATATTTATAATTTTATTCTTAAACGATGTGAACAGTACACACAAATTCTGACGTGACAAAATAAGTTATTAAAAAGGAAATGCATTGCAGGATTATTTCATAAAATTAAATTATATAAATCTTACCTTTTTCTTTTTTCTTCTTAGTCTCGTCCATCTTTTTATCTGTGAGATTTATAATTTTTTAGTACACATGCAAAATCACACAAATAGTCATTTCTGTGGACACACTCAAGGCTCTCACCTGGCATACTGGCAGCAAGAGTGTGTGTATGTGTGTGTGACCTGCTGGATACCTGTGTGAGAAAAGACCTGGCCAGGACAGGACATCCGAGTAAGAGCACCTAGAACAGGTGTGTGTCTTATTAGCATGGACTGTGTCCTGTCTGCGTTATGACATAAACAAGAGCAAGAGTGATAGATAATTCTCAGGGGTCCATAGGGTAAAACATCTGCTCACACTGTTTCTACACTGTTTATAGTGGATTATAGAAGAAGTAACATTAAATCAAATATTCAGATAAAACAAACAAAAAAAAAGACAAGACAAAAAAAAGAAAAGAAACGTAAGACAAAAACAAATAAATAAATAAGACAAAACAAAAAACTGAAGACCAAAAATCAAAAGACAAGACAAAACTAAAATAAGACAAGGCAAAACAAAAATTACACAAGACAATATAAAAAAAGAAGACAAATACGACAAAAAGACAAAACAAAAATAAGCCAAGAAAAAAAAAACAAGACAAACCAAAAAATAGGACGTGACAAAACATAAAGCTGAAGACAAGACAAACAAACAAAAACCAAGACAAAACAAAAATAATAGAAAAAAACAAGCCAACAAAAAAAATACATAAAATAAAACAAAAATGAACAAATGACAAAAAAAGACAAAACAAAAACTAAAGACATCACAAAAAACAAGATAAAAAATAAACAAAACTAAAAAATAAAATGTGACAACAAAAAACAAGACAAAACAAAACAACAAAACAACTAAAGACAAAAAATAAGAAAACAAAACAAAATAAAACAAAAATACACAAGACATGACAAAAAAAAGACAAAAAGCTAAAGACAAAACAAAGCAAAATAGAAAATAAACGAACAAAAAAACTAAACAAGACAAAACAAAGAACAGAATCGAAAAGACAAAACACAACAAACAAAACAACAACCAAAAGACAAAACAACATTGAAAAGACAAGATAAAACACAATATAATTATGGTAATTAATGATGGCTAAAAATCTGGATAATTTGTTTTGAATAAAAAATAAAAACCAACAACTGAAAGAGTGTTTGAGAATTGTATGAGATTTTATTCAAAGCATTAGGGACAATACCAGTTTAAATACAGCAGAGTAGAGACTGTTAAATACAGATAAAAAACAATATCACATTCAGCTGTCCCACAGTATAAAAATATTTGATAACTGATAATAATGTTGAACATTAGCATTTGTGTCTGCACAAGCTCCGCTGCACCTCCAGTGTATCACATGCAGTGAAAGCGCTGACCTCCTCACACGAATGCCACGCCCACTCAATGTGCGTCTGCTGCACAAACACACTCACGGACTCATGGCTCACATATGACAGCTTTAAACCCGTCTGATGCTGACGGCGGTTTGAACTCGATGGCAACGTCAGACGCCTCTCAGACAGCGAGCCAGCAAAACAAGTAGACGTCAAAAACTGAAAATCTGAGCTTGAACAAGTAATACAAAATAAAACAATATAGAATAATGCAGAGGATGCAGATATGTATAACATGTAAAAGCCGTTGCAGTCAGAGTCAGAGTTTGGATGGTAGCACACGTTGAATGCAGTGCTTACAAGATTGAATTGGCTTGCATCATTTTCAGACCTATTCTCCCTCTCTTCACTACGGCTATTAATAAAACTGGCAAAATGGCCAAAATAAAATAGTTTTTGATTAAGTCTCCACAGGAAACAGCAGGTGAAATCCCCTGGATGAGGCAGAAACATACAGATCCCCTTTCATGAGGTCTGGGAGAGGTGTGAAATGAAAGGTGAAAGGTCATAAGGTCACTGCAGGGGTCAGGTTCACACCACTGAGGAGGAGTTTGGCAGGCCCTGGAGAGTGGCGGCAGTGGGAGTCCCGCTGATGGCACTGAAGATGTGCAGTGAATCTGGAAGAGGACTGCGCATACCATCATCCACTGGACTGATCTGTGGAGCCGGGGACGGAAAAAGAGAGGAAATCAAGCAGCACTGCAGTGAGTATAAAAGCCACATGGAATCTGAACAGTGCTTTGCATTTACAAAAACAAAACACAAAAAACAAGACAAGACAAAACAAAACAAAACAAAACATTAATTTAAAAATAAAATAAAATAAAAAAATACTGTAAATAAAATAAGACAATACAAGACAAACAAATTGAAACGATTCTTCACATTTTCTTGTGGGGTCAAATCTACAGACATTTGCGCTCTCGTCACTGATCTATCTACACTGAACAAAATTATAAACGCAACATTTTTGTTTTTGCCCCCATTTTTCGTGAGCTGAACTCAAAGATCTAAGACTTTTTCTATGTACACAAAAGGCCTATTTCTCTCAAATATTGTTCACAAATCTGTCTAAATCTGTGTTAGTGAGCACTTCTCCTTTGCCGAGATAATCCATCCACCTCACAGGTGTGGCATATCAAGATGCTGATTAGACAGCATGATTATTGCACAGGTGTGCCTTAGGCTGGCCACAATAAAAGGCTACTCTAAAATGTGGCATGAGTTCAGCTCATGAAAAATGGGGGCAAAAACAAAAGTGTTTCATTTATAATTTTGTTCAGTATATAATGACTATTATATTATATGATATTATATTCTCTATTATAGATCAGTGGCTCTTGTAGTGTTGCAGTTGATCATTTGCTAAACTTCACTGACCAATCCTGCATAGTAACTGTGATCAGTCATATTATCAGACAATATTATCTTAAGGATGCATGTGCGGTTTGTTACCACCACATTATTTATAATTTTTGGTTGAATTTCGTTGTTATTGTTTTTCTATTTTGTTTCTTTTCTTTCTCTAGTTTTTTGGCCTAATAACATCTGGCAAAGGGACTACCAATGAAAACTAGCCTTCGGGCTAATTTGGGTACATTTACATTCATGAATGTTGATTAATGTACACTGTCCCTTTTTGTGTGTGAAATAAATAAATAAATAAATAAACAATGAAAATACTCTAAATTTTGAAGCCAAAAACGCATCAGGTAACAGTAGCTATAATAAAATTACATCAAACAGACATCATTTTAGTTGCATTTTCCTGATTTCACAATATGAAATGGGAGCTTTCATATAATTCAGTTTCCAAATGTATGTATATATGCTAGCAAGAAAAAAAACACATCATTTTAAATGGAGATGAGAGTTTCATTGGTAGCAGAAAGCATTATGTGTAGAATGCAGTGAATGACGTGTGCGTGAATCCTGTGGGTTTCTGTGGCTGCGGATCCCAGGATTTAAGAAGGTTTCAGTTATAAGAAATCATTTACCATTCAGTCTGACCATGAGAGCAAAAGAGGAAAAGAAAATGGAGAGATTAAAAAAAAAAAACACCATGAAAAGACATTATACATAAGTATGAGAAAGTTTAAAGGGACAGTTCACCCAAAAAGCAAAACTGTCATCATTTACTCACTGTCAAGTTGTTCCAAACCTGAGCTTCTTTCTTCTGTTGAACACTAAAGAAGATATTTAGAAAAATGTTGGTGATTAAACAGTTGACAGCCATTGAAAAAAAAATATACTATGGAAGTCAATGGCTGCTGACAACTGTTTGGTTACCAACATTCTTCAAAATATCTTCTTTTGTGTTTAACAGAAGAAAGACACTCATACAGGTTTGTAAGAACATGAGGGGGAGTAATTGATGACATGTTTTTCATTTTTGGGTGAACTATTTGTGTCTTACAGGCTCATGCATAATGGCGGACAGCTCTTTAGTGAGATCTCTGTAGTTGGCCTTCATCTCGTCATGATACTCCTCCTGATCTTCTTTAATCAGACGCTCATTAACACCTAAACCAAGACCACACGCCTCCACAAACTGCCTGCAAAACACCACACAAATTCAATTTAAATACCAGTCAATGTGTGGGCACACATAAATTGTTTCAATGTATGAACTTCTTGACAAAATAATTTAGCGCAGAGCTGTAATCTACACAAAGGTGGCTATTTTGAAAAAGCACAAAAATAAGATTTAAGATTCGATTTACTTAAATTAAAAATTGCATAATTCAGCTAACATCATTCCCATGTTGACATACTAGTGTTTTTGTGTTATTTCATAGGATCTTTCGCCATTTTTAAACAGCTGAGCTGTTGTGAAGTTTAATTGTAGTTCAATGTGAGCTCATTATTATATATTGCATATATGATTGATTTTTTTTTAAACAAAAATTCAGCAAAAACAGTAACATTGAGAAATATTATTTCAATTTAAAACAACTGTTTTCTTGTTCAATACATGTTAAAATATAATGAAAACCGCTGCTTATTTTTATGGAAACTGTGACATTTTATCAGGATTCTATGATAAATAGAATGTTCAGAAGAACAGCATTTATTTGAAATAGAAATATTTAGTAACATTATGAATGTCTATACTGTCACTTTTGATCAATTCAATGTATCATTGCGGAGTAAAAAAAAAAAACGGTATATATTGCATTGTACAGGTATATATGCAATGTTGTTTAAAATAGTTTTAGACGAAGGAGTTCTCAGAGACTGAAGTGTGTGTTTTACCGGAAAACTTCTTTCAGCTGTTTGACTTTGTTGTCTGGGTATTTCTTAGTGCTGGCGTCATCCAGGAAAGCTCTGGCATAAGCAAGAGGTCCGGCATTTACCTGAAGAGAGAGTGAAAGACAGGTTTACAGATGTCACATGACATTCTAAAACTCATTGAGCATAAGGTCATGTGTGTGTGTGTGTGTGTGTGTGTACCTGCACACTGATGCTGCCCTGTAGTTTGAGCTGCAGCTGGATCATGTCCACATCACTGCAGGAACACAGCTGTCTGATCTCCAGCACCTTCTTACTCATCTCATCAATCGCCACCTCAATGGGGTTCAAATCCACATGGTGCTGATACATCACCGCGATCCGCTTCTTCACGTACGGGAAACAGTGTGTGGCTGAGAGATGAAGAGAACGAACAGAAGATTTACATATGACGTCTAACCAAGAATGAGGTTAGTAATATTATTATTAATTAGGACGGTCAAAGCTAACACATTACACATGGTTAAACCATTAAATAATTAAAATCGCGAACACTCAACAAGTGTTTAAATATGATTCTTATCTCTCTCTCTTATATTTGAGCTGCTTCTTTGTCTAGACACCAGCTTTCCTCGCTTTGGACATGAACTCAAACGACTTCATGAGATGCTTTTAAACAGTCCTGAAAGATTTGACATGTTCGCTGAGCATTAAATCCGAGACATAGAGGCTGTCTGGATCTACTCTGTGAAGATAAGGCCTGTACTTTGTGATTGGGAAGATCTCTCTGGAAGTGTAACTTATCTCTATCTTTCGTCTCTATGGCCAGTATGCAGTGTGTAAGTGTGTGTACTCACCGGTGAGGATAGTCCTGCGTTTGCACTGTTCCTCTACGCCGCCTTGTTTTTTGCCTGAAACGGTGAACGGCATCTCAAAGACGAATCGACGGATGTTGTGGCTCCTCTCAAAGGCTGTTTTTCTCTCCAGCAGCTCCTTCTCCTCCAGGAACGGGGTGACATGAGTCACTTGGATGTAGGCGTATTTAGAGTCCAGATCCTTCGGATTAATCTGCACCGAACAGTAACGCAGCTTTAGCTTAAAGGCAGTTCTGTCATGACAACTCTCAGAGGGATTGGCATGGTAATGTACATGACAATGTTAACGTATTTGGTCCTGGTGGAATAGATCTGCTACGCTGCTGCTGCGGCAGAGCAAGTACAGAGACATCCACAACATGCTGCTGTGAGCATGTAAGAAATATTGCTGCTGCAAATATAACATACATGAAATAACCCCCATATAGCATACATGAATCACCTCGTAGCAAATCTATACAGGTGGAGCTGGGGAAGGTGGAGGGTTTCTGAAGCAAGCTGCAACTGCTACGGCAAGCACTAGTCATATATTTGAATGTTCAATGAGCTCATTGGCTACAGATACAGGAGAGAACCAATCAGCTGAGCCATGTGATAATGATGTCATTAGGTCAGACTGAGTTAGACCTATCGGACTGCGCCATCTAGAGTTTCATGCCAGAACTCTGTATTTATAGTTGTAGTACTAGTTAAACCACACTGTTCAATGCTGGTTAAATATGTCTGGACTTCTACATCTCATGGCAAACACAAATATTGACATCTTAAAATCTTCTAGAAAAAGCCACACTGCAGGTATATGCCCCATATGATATACTGTATGTAATTTCAGGTTTACCCACCCCAAAAACTTGACACGTTCGACAGATCAGTCAATCTCTTCCTGTCTAAGGTGGGCGTTTCTTGGCCAGAATAAGTTGCAATGTGAATCAGACTTTGTTCTGATAGTCAAAAGTCTGGTTATGCAAAACCGTAAGTGAACACTTTGTACCTTGCCAGAATCCTGGATCATTTTGACATTCTCAGCTCCAAACTTGTCTGAATACAGTTTAAGGAGTCTTTGAGAGATCTCAGACAGTGGGGTGAATTTGGGCTCCTTATATATGTATTCTTTACCGTCTTCATCCTCGAAGAACCCCTAAAACAACAAGCAAATCTGAATCAATCAGAAGAATGCATTGAAAACCTGCTCCTGAAACAAAGTCAAGCTATTTGCCTACTAATTTTTGAACACGAAGTTAGTCACAGGACACAACTATTTTCAACAGAAATACTGGGAAGTATAAAAACTGTAGAGTGTTGATGATAAATCCTAATTACTAAACCGGGATTATGATGACTTCCACAACACAACACACACGTAGAACTAAAGTTGAGTTTACCTCGTTCATCTCAGAGTCATTACACTGGTACTGCTAGAGACACAAACCACCACAGCGACAGAAACAACTCATCAATGAGAAACACACTTCAGTTGTTTAACTAAGCACCCATTTTAGTCGGAAATTCATTTTGTGCTGAACAGAGAAACAGGTTTAGAAGGTGGTGCTGTAATCTTCAAAGTTACAGGTGTACCAGGACATACTGTGTAAGTCTTATGTACTGCTAATCATTTCATGAAAAAGAATAAAGGCAGTTGGGTTAAAATACATTTTGGAAGCTGACTGTTTTAAAATGCATTTGCAAATAACTTTTTTTTAGGGCTCCTAGTGAAAAAAATTAATCAGATAACACAATATTCACATTTCTACCAATACATGCTGCCAAAAGACATTACATATTGTGGCAGATACGTAAATACTGGAAAGACATTACAAAACATGGCTTTATAAGTATGTTTTTTGTTTCCAAATCACTGAATGTAAGCCTATCACTTGCCAAAAAGTTGTGACATACACTTCCCATGTACTTTAGCATACAAAAATTACATAAAAGTTTGGACACTTAACCACATGTAATTGCAATTGAATGAAAATGTACTATAGATTAAATTTATATTAAATGCAGTTAGCTGAACTTTTTTTGACCCACTTACGTTTGTAGGACTTAATTTCATAAATAATAACTGTACTGACAAGCATTTATAATACTTTAAATTTAATATTGAGTAACACACTACAGTTAAAATTATAATCAAGCACTTTGCATGTGCTTTAGTATTTTAGTCACGCATCAAAATAAGTGCACTTGAAGTCATGACAAAAGATTATTAAAACAATGATTTAAAATGTACTTTAAAGTGAAACTTTGATATTGCAAAGTGCACTTTTTAAAAAAGTCTACTTAAGGTTAAAAATCAGTCATGAAAGTGTCTCTCTTTAAGTACACTGAAGTGGCCTTTTATTTCATTAATAGTATATTAGCTGCGAGTTCAGTCTTTTACTTCTTATTTCGCAAGGGTTATATATTCATATTAGGGCTGGGCGATATAGCTAAAAAATTTATCAATGATATATTGTTTCATATCGTTCGGTATAGATAATATTGACATTTTTTATAACCTTTTTTAAAACAAAGAGCAACAGAATTTTTTTTTTTAATTTAATCACTATTTTTAAATTAACCCAATTTATTGAGACAAACAACTAATATTTTTTTTGTTTTAACAGTCAAACACACAATACAAATTAAACAAATATCTAATTTCTAATGTTTTATATGCAGATTAAATAGGTCTTAAGGAAACTTTT